CGAAAAATTGATGTATGGTCAACAGTGTGGAGAATATGCTTACTGATGGTGGGAAGTCAGTTCATGCAAAGATATCGTTAGGATAAGATACGTGTTAATCTCTTCCAAAAGTTCACTGACTGAGATTATAAACAAGACTTTCACTAGGCTGCTTTCTGTAATACAATTCCAATGCTATTGCTCTAGAGGAACAGCTCGTACTGGGTGCATTTGGCATGATTGTGTACAATCTACACACAACGAGACTTTGGAATCAACATAGACATAGACATTGACAGGAACAGAAAACAATCCTACGAGTAAGATTAATTCAGACCAAGACAGAGTCACCAAGGAAACTAAAGATTCAGCTGCACGTGATAAATTGTGCCTAGAATTGGTAGACCCTTGAACTCCAAGAAGTGATCAACAAGTAACTTCTCCTTATAATATTCATATATTATCCAGCAAACGGGTAAAGGGAATATTCAAAACTTATCTAGTAGAATTTGTTTTGCCAAAAAATGCACAACAACCTAAAATACTAGGTTAACCTTAAATATACCAGAACATAATGTAAACGTTTCACATCACTGTAATGTTTGACGCACAAATTAAAGGTAAATGTTTTCAAAGTCTGACAATAAATTCACAATAAACATGTACATGCTGTACTTCAATTGGGCCTCTCAAGTTTAAAGAAACTGCTAAATGCAGATTTTTTAAGATTCTTTGTTTGATGATTAGTTCTTGGAATTGATAATAACCAGGAAACAAAAAGTAAAGTTTCAACATTTTGTCTTCACTAACTACAACTGCTAATGACAACTAACCTCTCTAAATGATGTTAAGTAACTGAATTAGGGATTTGTGATTGTAAATGTTACTCACCGGTGCCCAGGCCATCTTATCAAGTTGGAAGAAAAGTGCATGTAAGGGAAGGAGACAGTGACAGTGTTAGAAAAGTTCATTGTCTAGCTTTTAACTACATTCTCACTGACCTAAATTCTACATAAAACTTTGTCTTAAGTTGAATTGTTCACCAAAATTTCATTTAGGTTGTCTATAACAAAGAGTTTACTGTCTTTTGGCTACTCTGTAAATATAATTGGACAAATTCCTTGGTTTTTCGGCATGGGACAGGAAACCAACTCCACAATAATGTAGCCTACTCGTCAGCTTTCCAACAACCCTGTCATCATTTTCAGTTCCACTTCATTATATGGCTACCAACAAGTCCTCCAGTACATGGAGAATCTTAGAAGAATACATTACATGTATGCAACTGGGATCAAGTGGATGGGTGGTGCACACTGCCTCTTTTTGCAATTTGAGCATAATGGAGACCAAACAAGACTGAATATGAAGAACAACTTAAGCATGGGGTATCAAGTGGAAAGATTGGTGCATACTGCCCCTTCTCGCACTAAAAACAAAATGGAGATGTACAACTCAAAGAAAATTTGACTCAAACTAAAGCAATGGATGAGCGTATCTAAGAATTTTCTATACTGTCTTTTGCCCTCACCCAACCCCTCCTGAGACAGTGACATTTTACTACTAGGCCAGGGGAAAGGGCACAGCCTTTCATCCTATGCTCCCCATATCCCAATTGCTAATATCCAACAGAAATTATCACAGAAACCTCTTTTATCTGGTCTCTTCAGAAATCAACGATTTTCTGCTTTATAAAACATGTTATCATATGTCCATGGGAACAATCACTGCTTAATTGTCACAAATGATTTCTACCAATTTAACCGCAGTGTTTTGTAGTTCCAAAAGATATCAACATTCACACAGCAGAAGAGACCCCACTAGCCGGCAAACACTCTGGCCCTCATGTTGTCAGCACTGTGGCCAGGTATTTCTTCAACCATGAGTAAGTTAAAGGCTTTAAGCAAAGCAAGCTGTCTGCTCAACAAATCCACAGTGGTTTAGTGTGATGTATACTCTTATCTACAANGAATTTCAGTTTTGTTTCAAATGACTTTCTTCAGAAGTTGTGCCTGTTGAGAGCACCATTCCCCCTTGAGTTTGTCAGGATATGACCCTCCCTGGGATGGATGCAAAGAGGTTCTGGAACTACCTATTTTAATGGTATCCACCTAATATAGCTGACTAAACTATTCTGACTTGAAAAGTGAGTTTTAATTAGTAATTATATTGAAAAAGTTTTGAAAAACAGAAGGAAAAACATTTCATGAATTTTCTGAAATGATAAACAAGTCAGGAAATTTCCTATGCAGAAAGATAACTGTTAACATCATGTGCTGGAATGAGTGATTAAAACAAAAGGGCAAACACAGCAAATTGTGTAAAATTAAGATGTAAATGGCAGTTAAACATTTAAGTGCACCTGACAAATAGTGAAAACACTCAAGGGCAAATTAAATATGATTGAAGAAAAGCAGTTACTTACATCTCTATTTGGTGAGAAAGTTAAATTACTTTCAATTCATAAGCACAATTCATACCAGTGAAAGACACCTTTTGAACACCAATTTTAATTTAATTACATTAATCTGATGCAAGCAAGTGAAAAAGAGTGGAAAGCCAACCTAAGTAAAGGCAAAAAAATTTGAAATGAATTTTTGCTTAATATGTATATAGTAGAATGGCTTCTTCAGTTCCAAAAGCTCAAATTAAAGGTCAGTCATTAATTTTGATCTAATCATCTCAGTGGAGGAGAAATGGACTTCCTAACCCAGAAAAGGCTGTTAGGAGGAGTTGGCCAAAACATTGCTTAAACGACCCCACCACACATTTCAAATTGACATCAAATTTTTAATTTGGAAAAAAAATATTACTGACACAGCTGCCTTGAGTTTCTAATAGTGGAAGTACAATATGTAATTAATTTGGCTTTAAACAGGCTCATGAGATTGCAGGCTGGAAATTTGTCACAACTACCAACTGTCAAAAAATAGGATCCCAAATTTCAAAACTAACTCAGAGCTCAGTGAATATAATGATTGTAATAAAATAAAAAAAAAGTCTTCTGAGGCTTGATGCTTCTGAAAGTTAAGAGACAAAAAATAAAGAGCCTAACAAGAATTTTTTAATTGAAATCGAGTTTTTGCTATGAATCATGCATGAAGAGGAGAGATATTTCACAGACCACAAACAGCTGCAACATCAAGTACCTACTTTTCATATTAAAGGAGACAGACAGATAACTTGTAATAACCTGTTCTTAAAAACTTAATATAGAAACTACAAGTATCTTGGCCAATTGATGGTAATTTCATGAAAGGAGAAATTATTTATTTGCTTCTTGTTGTTAATCCTGTTGTGGCAAGCAGTTTGTGTGAGTGTTTTACTAAGGAATTTCAATTCAATTTATTTCAATTTCAATTTCAATTTATTTATTTGTTAGCAATACAATATTATCACAGTCCTAGGTGACCCGCAATTAGCAAGCTATTCTAGGTGGGCCACCCTTCTAAAACAAGTGCTGTCTCTGCTAATGATAACATACCGATGCAAGGAACATTTTTAGCAAATTCTCACTCTCTTAGAAAATTCATTCCCCATTTTGTGTTTCACTCTGTCTGACTATCATTACGATGTGGTCTGCTGCCATGTAATGGCAGAGAGTATGGCACAGCATTGTCCCAAAACCTAAGAGCTACATGTACCTTCCTAGATGCTACTGTAACAGTATAAATGTTATTAGCAAAAAATAAATTTCAGTTCAAAATCATTTCAAACAACTGGTGATTTGATTTGTGTTCTCCTTTGTTCTACAGATAAAAACATGCCACTACTAAGGGAATTGTTTCAATTAAAATCCTCTTAAATTTGTCAAGAGTAGAGAATACGATTGTGGAGGTCTGATAGTTTTCACCTAATGTAAAATAAAAAGTAACCAATCAAAGAGACAAAAATAATATCAAATTTATTCGTCTACAAGCCGAACTTGGCTATAAGCCAAGAGCCTACTGTAAACTAATCGGTCTGTTTTAAACGGGAAGGTTCTTTAAACATGTAAATTGAAAACACTCCGCTCTGAGCCGAGACCATATTCAGAGAATTCCATTCTTGAACAAACTGAAATGAATGCAAAAGTTTTGAAACAGAAAAGAGTTTAGAGTGTATTTCTCCGAGATAACCAGAGAGTAAGCAATCAGTGAGTCGCTAGAGGAAAGATCAAGAGAATCTCTTTAATGGAGAGCTCGAGATGTCAGTGAAACGCACAATGATGGGCCGTTACACTNTTGATAAATGAACATCTCTTGAGGGGGGTCAGAAAATACCCTGAGATGATCAGGGGGGCCCCTTCAAAAATGAAAGGAAAAAATAAGGAAATCATCATAGCCCACTGGTACCCTCTAGATAAATTATGAATGCTCCCTAAAGAGGGTTGCATGTGAGTATTGTTTCTGGTTTTTTTCTTAGAGCATAAATTTCAATTTATTTTAGTAAATCATAACTCCTGGTTTGAAGGGTTCTTTATGAAATGTGCAGACCTTAAACCAACCAGCCATATTGGTGATTTTGAGTTGCAAGATCATTAGAAATCTATGAGATTAAGTTAAACCTTTCACACCCAGGATCTCAATAGAAGTTCCCCATAAAAATCTTATGTCAGTTTTGAGAATTTGGTATTGGTCAACTGCTAATCCCCTAATTGATACTTTTCTATATTTTCGACACTTTTCTGCTTCACATTGTATTTGATATAACAATTGTAAGGAGACATTCTGTTTTGGAACTTGTGGGAAAAAAAGTTAATTTGACTGAGAAACCATAAAAACACCTGACTGTACATAGTCACTAATGAGATCTTTGTTTGCCTTTAGTTTTTCTTCTTAGAGACAAAACTTAGGTCATCTCTGAATTAACAAGTTCCTTCACTTGTGACAAGACAAAGTGAAATTTGGATATTTGTGATCAGAGATCCCTCATCATTTCTGCTCTGAATCATACCAAATGATCCCCCTTTAAAAAATCTCTTAATGCCACTAAGTTTGAATTTTGAAGCAAACTAATCTCTTGCAATAATCTTTAAAACATACCTGTCCGCATGTCAGGCTATACTGCTGAAACATAGCTTCATAGAGTGATAACAATCCTCCCTGTCCTACAGCAGCACATGCTCTTGGTTCAATGTAAGGCCTTGACTGCAAGAACACAGTATCGCTAATATTGAGTACAGTTCTAGTAGGTGACCTGATGAGGCTCATGGTAATAAAAAAGACATTGTTCTGTGCATGACTTACTGCATCCAGGGCTGTAGTCTAGCAGTGCCCCGTGGCCCCTGATGCCTTACTTTTGCTCTTGGGCAACTCAGGAATCTTAGCTTTTTCACAAAAAGCATATGCTGAGCTCCCTGGATTTCACAATTTAAGAGCACTAGGCTCCCCTGGATTTCACTGTTTCAGAGCACTAGGCTCCCTTCAATTTTCTTAGATCACAGCCTTGGAGTCTGCAAATCTTTAAGACATACCTGTGTACAATATAATAAAAGGTAGCATATTCCTCTCACATTTATTTAAAGACCCTGAGTGTTGGTCTGCTCTAGGACTTCAACCCTTGACCTCTGCACAGCAGAGACACACAAAAGAGATTGGTGGAAGACGTTGAAAGGTAATAGGTGAAAATGAGGTTAGTTGAGGAAAAAGAGGGATTAATACAGTTTAATCACAAAGGTTTAAGTTGGAAAATTCAAGCAGAACTTTTTCAACATTCACGGACGTGGGATTCAAGGTAACACCTCTGAAATTTTCCACTAGGGTGCTTTTTAAGGGTTAGGTCATCTAGTTGTTAGGCTTCATAAGTGCTGTACATAGAATACCTTCAGGACATCTTGTGGCTTGAGTGTTTGACGTACACTCTGGGAGAGAAGTATCTCATGTCTAAGTTTTTGTTTGCCAAAAGCTACAGCAGCACTTGTGACCAGAAGCATTTGCCTTCCACTATTCTGTAACTCAGACACCTAAAACGTAACAAGAACAACAATTGTTTTGTAATACAAAAATTTCATTGCAAAAACAAATACAAAATAAAACCAGTCTTTTCCAATATCAGCCTTAAATTTCTTTATAATTAGCCACGCAAAGTTGGTAAATACATGTACTTCTTGCTAAACCAGTTTAAGTCATGTTTTTTTTTTTTCACTCAGAGTTATAGCCTGCTTGCATCACTTTGCAAGCCACATTAAAAAAGAATACATAACTCTTATTTACTGAATTCAAGGTCTATACTATAATCAAGACGAGGTTTTTTTCTGTTCAGAGGGCCCAAGCGTGTGGGGCATAAATCCAAGGGAAAAAGGAGGTTCCAAAACTTACATACAAACCAAGAAAACAAGATCAGCAAAATATTTAATATATCTCTAGGTTTGAACAGAGAGGGAAGATTTTCTTTTTGAACATAAGTTTGAATTTAGCAGGCCATACAATGAAGTATGGCCCACTAAATTGACCAATCATAGTGCATGTGCTAACTGAAAGATGCAAGAAGATC